GGTCATGATCCCAGCGTCCTGGGATCGAGTCCCACATCGGGCTCCTTGCTCGTCAGGGAGCCTGCTTCTCCCTCTGCCTCTGCCTGCCATTCTGTCTGCCTGTGCTCGCTCTCTCTCCCTCTCTCTCTCTGACAAATAAATAAATAAAATCTTTAAAAAAAATAAAATAAAATAGATTCCACAGCCTCAAATTCAACAATGGCCCCCTTCCTTCCAAATCCAGTAGGCACATTTTTCAGTCCCTAATTCTGAACTAATTTCCTCCAGCTGACTTTTCCCTTGACCTCTAGATCCTTGGTTTTCCTAACACATTTTCATAGTTTTTCTCACAGCTCTGACTCTTCCAGTGTCCTCTCCTTTCGGACATCCATTCCTCTGACCTTTCTATGTTGGTGTTTTCCAACATTTACTCCATTGTTCTGTGTTCTTCACACAATACAGTCACCCTGAGCAAACTCCTCTGTGCTTCACCTTTCACCCAGTACCTGCATCCTCATGTTTCTGGCCCAGATCTTTCTCTTAAGCTCCCAAATCCATCTAAGTCAACTGACTACTGGACGACTTCACCATGGTGTCCCACATGCTATTCTTTTTTTCTTTTTCTATTTATTTTTTTAAAGTAATCTCTACTAAACCCAATATGAGCTCAAACTCACACCCCAAGATCAAAAGTCCCACACTCAACCAACAGCCAGCCAGGCGCCCCTCACATGCTTCTTAAACTTAGCAAGTTTCAACTGAACTGATCTTGTTCCCCTGCTATCCTGACAAATCTTTTTTGTCCCCCAAGGAAAAAATGTATCCATCCTTCTTGGTGCCACTCTTTTACCCCGATCAGCTACCAAGTGTCAGTTCTGCTTCCTAAATAGCAAATTTCTCACCTCTCTCAGACCCACTGCCACCACTTTGTTTCACGCCAGACTAATGATTTCTCTTTCATTAAAATCGTCTTCCTCTGGGGGGCTTGGGAGGTATAAAGAGAGTAAATGAAACAAGATGGAATCGGGAGGGAGACAAACCATAAGAGACTCTTAATCTCACAAAGCCAACTGAGGGTTGCGGGGGTTGGGGGGGTAGGGAGAAGGTGGTGGGGTTATGGACATTGGGGAAGGTATGTGCTATGGTGAGTGCTGTGAAGTGTGTAAACCTGGCGATTCACAGACCTGTACCCCTGGGGTAATAATATATTATATGTTAATTTTAAAAAATTTTTTTAAATTTAAAAAAAAAAAGGAAAAAAGAAAAATAAATAAAATCGTCTTCCTCTAACTCCACTCCCTAACAGGGCAACCAGAGTGATCTTCCTGAAATGCGGATCTAATCATGCTGCTCTCCTGCTAAAATCACCCCACAGTCGGTCCTCCATTGTTCTGAACATCCAAATTCCTGTCCACAGCCTCTGAGCTCTCTAATCCTCTGGATTTGCCTGTCTCCAGACAAATCTCTGACCCTCCCTGCCTCACACCTTATAGTTCAGCATTGCTAAAAGGCTTTTCGTTCTCTTCGTTCTCTGCACTCTCCGTTGTTTCTTACCCTGCTCTTTCCCCAAGATGCCCTCTCGCTCATGAATGGCTTTCCTGACCTTTGCCTGCCTAACTCCCACTCACCCTACAGTAGACCGGTCTCCTGTCTACCGACCCGCACCAAAAGAGATGTTAAGTTGTCCCTACCCAGGGCACCCACATTGCCCTGCGCCTGGCACATTTTACATTATTTTTACATCTTTATCTCCCCAGCCAAACTGACCCTTAGCTAGCACAGGGTCTCTGTTTTGTTCTCTAAGTGCTTAGCCTATACCAAGTGCTCAAAAGTGTTGAGTGGAGACTCAGTTCCTAAGTGCAGACATTATAATCAGTCTGTCATATGGGACACTACAACGTGCCAGAGGCTGTCAAGCGAGCCACATTCCCTCCTTTCTCACAATTTCCTGAGATCACTATCGTCAATTCCATTTACTAAATGGGGATTTAGAGAGAGGTGAAGGGACTTGTCCACGCCACACAGGCGGAAAAGGGTGGAGCCTTGTTTGTTCTAGTCAGAGTCCTAAGCGCAGTCAAGCCTGTTTAATCAGTCAGCAGAGACTGCCAACTGCCCGCTCCATCTATTCTCTCCCTTGAACCACAGTTTTTTCTGGGATGACAGTGTGCCCCATTAAAAGATCACATTTTAGCTAGGTGTGCAATGTGACTCAGTCCTATGGGATTTCCATTAGTCTCCATCAAATGAAATGTGGACCAAGTGACTAGAGCTCCAGCAGCCATGCTGGGCCAGGTGGTGTCCTTGAGACTGGAAGCCAGGATTGAAAATGATAGCCCAGAAAGAGGAGCCTGGGTTCCTAGTAATGGTGCGGGCCATATCAGTCATTGTCTGGCTACCTCCAGCCTTAATATAAAAGGAAGATAAACTCTTGTTAAGCCACAGTGGTCACTCTGTTAATATGCTGCCAAACCTGGGCATGTGGTAGAATCTCGACCCTCTCCATCCCCAGGGGCCAACTCAGAGAAGGAGCCAGCATGGGTGATATAAAGTGTTTCTTTATTTGAACGTCATTCCACCTGCACTGAAGCTCAAATCCAGCAGCAGCAGAAGGGGTCAGGACCAAAGTAAATGTTACCAAACTGGACGATGAACAGCGAGGACACACTCAGACGGAACTTACTAATGGGTGTAGACAACACCAAGCTACCCTAATGACACACAGCACAGGCCCCTGAGGTCTGCTGGTCAGAGCTCTGGGAAGGACTGTCCCCCTTGTTCCCTTCTCAGGAAACTCCAGGCCCACCCGAAGGCTAGCCCTGAGCCAGGCAGGGACCTGCATAAGTTTCTCGTGCTGGGAAAGTCCCAGCTTCTCCAAAGAGAGGGTTCCCCTGTCTCTATCACACTGGACGTTGGAGAAGGCTGATTCCCCCGTGCCCAAACAAGAATCCCAAGGAGGCCAAGGAATTATCTTCCCTACAGCCTCATCTAAAAGCTCTTGGCTTAACTAGTCCAGGCCTGAAAAGGATGAATCCTAACCATGATCCTCACCCTCTCAGGAAAACAATGTTTTCCTTACCGGGTACTGGTTCCCAAACAAGAAAGTTTTCACATCCTAGAGACCCAGAAGGACGTGACCAACCAGCGCTCTCAACCACCTCTAGGTTGTAGCTGCTTTGGCCTCTCCTGAAAGTCCCCAGACCAGAGCAGAAACAACCTGCTCGTGCCAGACACCTCCGATCCAGTCACAACTCGGGAGGACGAGTGCCTCCACAGGCCGCTCAGAGGTCAGCTTCTTAAGACCTTTCCAGAACCAAGAGTCCCAGAGGCCATGCTGAGGTGGGAGCAGGTGATCACCGCATCCGTCTCCTCCTCAGGGCAAAAGCCAAACTGCCTGCTTTGGCTAGGGCACACCACAAACCTTCCCTAGTCCACAAGGGCTTCTTTGCCCCCAGAGAGCCATGTGAGCCACAGGGTGGTGGCATTCCGGCCTCACGTGAAGCCCCCACCTGAACATGTTTCCTGCTCTGCTCCGGCCTCCGCCAAAGCCTCGGGGACAGGGCTCTGGTGCGCACCCCAGCCTCTTTTCCTTCTCTGTGTTCCCCTTGCACTCCTACAAGCCTGACCAGCCCTGCTTTTCGAACCCCACACTCCTGGGTGCGTACGTGGGCGGCCCCTTCCTTGGCAAAGGCAGCAACTGGCTGAGTGCATGGGGACAGGGAGGCACTCGGGACCCCCCTCAAGGGGATTAACTTCACTCTCCCCTCTCACTAACCTCCACTCCAGTGGCGCCCTGGCCCCAAAGGGGTGGGCAGCGGCCTGGGTGTCTGAGGGGAGGTTCTCCCGTCCCCCCACAGCACAGGACTCTGGCACCCCCACCCCCCCGCAGCAGGGCACACACAGCAGCTGCTCCAATCCCTTGGCATCCTGCCTCCTTTATCCTCCTCTGCCCCATGCTGCGCCCCTGCACCCCAGTCAGCTGTCCACAGCTCACCCCTCCATTTGCCTCCTTCCCTGTCCCTATTCCTTCTTTTTCCCAGCCACCTTCCCCCCTCCACCCCAGGCTCTCTGCACATCTCTCCTTTCTCCATTTCTCTGCCTCTCTCCACCCCTTCCCTCCCCTCTCTCATTCTCTCCCACCTCAGTCTTCTCCCCCTTCCCAATCACCCCCCCCCCCCCCCCCCCCCCCCCCCCCCACCACAGCCTCCCAACACTGGGCTTTGGTTTGGATCTTTGAGGAACTCACTTCTGCCCCCCACTGCCTCTCAGGAGGCTCCCCTGACCCTCCCACTCAGCATAGGCCCCTGGTGCACAGCCCCTTCCTGCAGGTAGAACCCTGGGGGAAGAGAGGGTAGCACTGGGCCAAGGCCAGAGCACCAGGGGAAAGGTGTTTGCTCAAGAGGACGGAGTCAGGAGGGTGGAGCATCAGGACTTGGTGAGTTCCGGGTTTCGGGAATCCTACCAGGACCCAGCATCTGATTCCAGTTAGGGTCCAGATGGGGGTCTCATGCAGAGGATTTCTAGGGTCTGTCTTGGAAACCCTCTCAGGTCCAAGTCCTATGGAAATGAACACAAGATTGGCAAATACATGGCACTCGCTGCTTTCCTCCCCTCCTTTGGCTGAGGCCCACAAAGGAAATGATGACAACAACCTTCCCCAGTGAACCCGCAGAGGCCTCCCGCTCTGGCTACACAGTGGACCAGTACTCCCCCCAGTACTGGAAGACAGAAGTAGGCGCACTAGATGAAGCCACCCTGCCACCTGCACTTGGGGGCTGAAAGGGGCTCCCCACGCCCCGGCCACACGGCTCCACCACCAGGTCTACCGGGCAATGAGGGAAGTTTGGAAACACCTGGAGTCTCCCTCATTTGCTCCTGGCCAAGGGGGAAGGAGATGCCCCCACGGTGGGAGGGGAGGGAGAGAAAGACTCCTCTTCTGCTCCCCGACCCACACACACACACACACACACACACACACACACACACTCTCACACACACACACACACACACACACACACACACACACACACACGCTCACACACACACTCATGCCTCAGCTCCAAGCACTGCCCATTGGGCTGTAGACCCTGGGCATATCGCAAGGCGAGAGGTGGGCAAGGAGGAAAAAGTGGAGGTGGGGATAGGGTTACAAGGCCTGGGGATGGGGACAGGGGGTACCCTGTTCAGAGGTGACCTGCAAGTTCAAGTTATGCAGAAAAAGTATCAAAGAGGCAAGACAATCTCTGCCCTTGGCAGATGCCCGGGTTTGGGGCATGAGAAGGGGCAGAGGGGTGATGCATCCCCTAATTCCCCATTCTTGGTCCCCCCTCCCAAAACCCCAGCCCTGACAACAGGGCCAAGAAGTCTGCGCTGTACAAAACAGGCCAGGGTCAAGGGTCCAGTAACTGGTGAGACATCCCAGCAGAGAAAAGGCCAGGCCAGCCTGAGGCTGAGCCCCCTCCAGCCCCAGCTGCCATGGTCAGATGTCACCAAGACAGGACTCAGAGCGCCGCCTCCTACTGCTTCCAAAGCCTGTCTGTCCTCAGACTCTGGGCTGTTCAGGACCCCAATCAGCAGCTGACAGGGAAGCCCTGTGTTTTCTCTCTTGGTGCAGCTCAGACTCCTTTGGGAGAGGTGAAAACAGGCTGGCGCGGGCAGCAGAGAGGCCCCGAGGAGGCAGGTGGTGCCTGGAGCTCTGTGATGATGTGATGGAACCATCATCAGGGGGGAGAAAACAGGAAAGAGTCCGGTCCACCCTGGGCCAGTGTCCTGGGTAAGTTTCTGTAGGAGACAGGGACCAGAGGAGGCAAGGATGCAGCCAGGTGGGAGCCCTCCAGACTGACAGGGCCTGGGGAACCGGAACCGCAGCGCCACTTCCCCTGGAGACTCTGTGGGGGCCCCGGGCCGGCCTAGAGAGGAAGGGAGAAGCCCAAGGGCCCAGGGCTCTGGCTCCCTTAGGTCAGTTGAGGGAGAAGCAGAATCAGGCCCTCCCGCACGCTGCATCCCAGCCCCAACCTCTTCAAAGCCCGGAGCTACAGGCAGGTAGCAGGTGAGCAGTCAGTCCTGGATGGGGTCTTCCCTCGGAGCTTGAATGAAGGGATGAGAGGGCAGGCAACGGGACAAGCTGAGGACAGGTCAATTCCCGGGCTGTGATCCTGGCCCTCAGGGTCCCTGTGAGTGAGCGACGGGACAGGGGAGGACTCCCCATCCGGAGACATCACCCCCTGGCCGCAACACGGAGCTTACTGTAGAGCCTACAAAATCTATGAGAGAAAAAGAATTGGAGAAAGTCAGAGACTACCCAGCATTGGGGCTCCCCTCGGCCACTCCTCAGGGCAAAGCTGGGCAGGGGAGTGAGCTGCACAGAGTCGGAAAACCAGCCAGGCCTCTGGTTAGCTGGATGGTCCTGAGCAGGCCATTCAACCCTTCTGAGACTTGATTTCCTCATCTGTACAGCGGGCATAACAGCCTACTTCACAGGGTGAATCCGAAGAGTGAAAAAAACATAATTCCAGCCAAGGACTTTTCACAATGTTTAGTGCATAGTAAATTCTGGAAATGAGAGCAATTTATTTGTGTTTTTACTTTTGTCCCAGAGGTCTGGCTCAGAACTGAAGTGTGAGGCTCACTCATCTTGAACTCCCAATGAGGGACACACACACACAGACACACACACACACCCGACGCTGAGGTATGACAAACTGGGGCTCCTTCACCTCACTTTAAACACCGAGCTGAGGGCACTTTGGGGAGGAAGGAGAGGACGCTGGGTGGGCCCATCCCCCATGGGCCCATCCCCCATCCCCCATCCCCACACCTCTTCTTCAGAAAGACCACGTGGCTCTTAGTCATGCACTTCTGGAAGCTGCCACCAGAGGGCAGGCCCTGACCTCACACCAAGACTACAGGAACCCACCAGGCATCAGGGTCTCCAGGGATAGGAGCCTCAGAGACAGACAGGTTAGTATCGGAATAGCCCAGGAGGGCCCTGAGAAAGGAAACAGGCAGCCCGGAAGAGCCTGGCCTTTCAACTTTGGACCTGGGTTCAAATCCTGACCACACTGCTTCATGACCTTGGACAAGTTACTGGACCTCTGCAGACCTCACCTTTCTCATTTGTAAAATGGTGGTCATGATGCTTGCCTGGTGGGGTCTTGAAGAGTGACAGCTTCTAATGAGTATTCACCAAGTGGCCCCTAATAGACATAATCTTTCTTCCTCATCGGACAACCCTGTGAACTGGTACTATTTCCACCGCCCTTATTTGAGGAAGCCAGGAAACTAAGGCTCAAGGAGGTGCAGTCCCCAGCCTGCTTTCAACTCAGAGGCCTTCAGTCCAAGGGTTCCACCACAATACTCAACCACCTCCTGCCAGATGAGATTATAACCCTCACTGCCATTATTCCCATTTTATAGATGAGACTCCAAGAGAGGAATATAATTAATGGAAAGTGCTAAATATAGACCCAGCACATTCTAATAGCTTAAGGCAGGGTGTGACTGTGAAAACCACTACTCCTGTTTCTCAGGGCAGGGCACACACACCCAGAGAGACAGGTGTCTGTTCACGGATGCCATGCCGTGCCTCCTGGTGCTCCAGGGACAGGGTGGGTCCCTGGCTCAGACCAGCTCCCCTTTGGAGAGCGATCTGGCACCATCATTACAATTTTAAGTGCGCAATTCCACTACTGGAAAAACACCAAGAAAACACTGTGTATAAGAAGACACAGACAGGGGCGCCTGGGTGGCTCAGTGGGTTAAGCCGCTGCCTTCGGCTCAGGTCATGATCTCAGGGTCCTGGGATCGAGCCCCGCATCGGGCTCTCTGCTCAGCAGGGAGCCTGCTTCCTCCTCTCTCTCTACCTGCCTCTCTGCCTGCTTGCGATCTCTCTCTGTCAAATAAATAAATAAAATCTTAAAAAAGAAAAGAAAACACAGACAAAGATGTCCAGCGTAGCATTATCAGTGATAGTAAAATCCTGGAAACCTCCCCTAAAAGTCCCTAAAAGGAAAATAGTTAAATAGTTACAGTTCCTCCATCTGACGTAATGCTAGGCACTGGATAAAAAGGGTTCTCCATAAAAGGATAAAGAAAGATCTTGAAGACATGCTCTAGGGTTGGGGACAAAAAGCAGTCTTGCGAGGAATTGGTCTGGGATGACACCTATCCTGCGTTATATGAGCATATAACATTACTGTATATTTTATAAAAGGACATATAATGTACACAGATGCATAGATAAACATCTGATAACCGGTTAGCCTGGAGTCTCCGGCCTCATGTGTAAATTTTTTCTTCATCAGATTTCAAGTTACTTGATATATACAAAATATATATATTACTTGATATATACAAAGCCCACCTGTGTGGGCTCACCGTGCAAGACCACCACCATATTTTGTACATGCCTACACCCACCCCCCATCTCAAGTAAGCATCATCCTATCCTCTGTATTTATTGTTTCTTTACTTTAAAAAGAAAATGCAGTACCACCATAAATATACTTATGATCAAACCATACATTACTGTCTCTTGGTTTTTGACTGAACTCCATGAAAATATCACTCTGTTATCTTCTGGAAATTGATTTCCCCCACTCCTCTGTCTCAATACTACGTTTCCAGGATGTATCCATCCTGTTACTTATAACTACAGTGCATGCATTTTCAGTTATGCTCCATTCCAGGATGTGAGTATATCACCACTTACTATCCATCGTCCTGTCAATGGCCATTTAGGTTGTTTTTAGTGGTCTGCTATTTGAAGCTGCTGCCACATTTCTCATGGGTTTCTACTCCCAGCTGGGTTTGCTGGGGCCCAAGCATGCAAGTGTTCGGATCTGAGGAATAACGTCAAATTGCTTTCAGGGGGATCGGACTGTCTGCACCTGTTCCAGTTTTTGCTTCATCTGTAGGACACGGTGACCCCTGGAGGCCCCACCCCCGACCCAGCCAGTGCACTCGCCTTTGTTCTCCTGCTTGAGCTCCTCCTGCAGCAGATCTGTTTGCCGGTTGCCCAGCACGAAGGCGAGGAAGGAGAGGATGAGGGCGTTGAGGATGCCGATGATGGCCAGGATGTACGCCCAGCGCACCGAACAGTCCCCCAGGGAGTACTTCCCGGTCTTGGCCCCGCACATGTCCCGGATCGTCTCGGCGTCCCAGCCGTCGGGGAAGATCATGCAGCCCAGCACGAGGCACAGAGCTGAGTGGGTGCGAGGCCGGGCGCACCGCCATGGTCAGGGAGGAAGAGAGAAGGGGTTGAGTACTCCCAGAGCCAGAGGACCACCCCAGCCCCCGTCGACTGGCCCCCCGCAGGCCGCGCCCTCCCACTCAGTCACTCAACCCAAGAGCCTGTTAAGCCTTCCGTGGGTTCCAGAAACTATAGGGTCTGGGACGGCCTCCTGCCTCGGGGAGCAGAAACTTTCCAGGACCCCATAATGACCCCCATCAAATCGACACCTCCAGGAAGCCTTCAATGAAATACAAGGAAATAGCAATCCACGGTTACCTTCCTCTGCTCCCTTTAGCATCCTAACCATGCTTACGCCCTCCCATCCTCATCGTTCTTTATTTCTTTTTGTCATTCTTTCAACAAATATTTATTGAGCTCCATTTCCTTTTCTTCAGGACGCTGGGCACACGTTCTTATTCACACAGTCAAGCACCGGCTCAAAGAACAGACTGAGGAAAGTTCTTTCCCTTACTCGATGTACACCATGGGAATGCCCCCTATTTATGTTGGAAATCCCAGTACTGCCTCAAGGGGTAGTGCTGAAGACTGAGGGAAGTAAGGCGTGTAAGACATTCAGCCCAGTGCCTGGCATCTCCTCACTGAGGGCCCCCTGGGTGCCAGGCACTAGACTAGGGAGAGACAGGGCGCATTACTTGGACTTCAGCTTCACAGAACTTGTAGTTAGTGGGGGAAAGGTCCATTAGAGCAAAGAGGCTCAAATCCTGACCCGGCTCTTTTCTAGATGTGTGACCTCCAGCCAGTTCGTTGCCCTTTGAGACTCAGTCTTCTCATCTGTAAAATGGGGATAATGATGGTATTCAAGTGTAAAGGTTACAGGAGGCAGCAAATGTAAACACTTGACATAATAAATTCCAGGTAAATGTTAAATGTTATTATCATCATAACTAGTCATAATGATACCTTTAATAGTCACACAAATAAGGAAATAATTGGGGAGGGCGGATCTTAGTTTCAGATGGTGAGGAGGAGGAGAAGGGGCGAGGCCAAGAAGAGCCTTCTATTGAAATAGCCCCCACCTGGTTCCCTCCTGGGTATTCACTTCCTCTATTTTGAGTGACCCACCTCAGCCAATCCTGACCCACGTGGTAGCTGTAGGCTCTTCCCAATGCCCAACCTCATAGGTGGGACCCAAGCCTGAGCCAATCAGCACACGGCCCACCCAGCAAATCAGGACCCGCGGAGTTCAGTGAGCGGCAAGGACAGTGACCTTCACTTCTCCCTTGCAATGAGCGGCCAGCCCCGCGACTTGTGAGTTACCCTCGATGCTGCCCTCTTAGTGCCTGCCAGTCCCACCAGCAAGGAGGTTACTGTGTCTGAGGCCGGAAGGCTCCACACCAGGCCCGTGGGGTGCTTAACCTGAGTTTCAGGTGACAGCGATGACAAAGCAGGTGGTGGCCAGTTCTGCCCACTGTCTATAAGGCCCACCTAGTTCCCAGGGTGGGGAGGCGGCCCTCGGCTTTGTCAGTCTCTCCCTCACCTACAGTTCAAGGAAGTGCTCCCTAGGCCTCAGACTCCCATCTGACAGTGCGCAAGGTTTGCCCTCCTGTGACAGGACAGTGTCCCCCACACCCCTAGGTTGTACTCCTCATCCTGATGCAGGGCTCTCCCACGACACTGTGATATCTCTCTCTCTCTCTCTCTCTCTCTCTCTCTCACACACACACACACACACACACACACTTAGGGCTTCCTCGCTTCCCCAGTGCTTGCCTCCGCCAAGATGATTCCCCGCTAGAGCACAGCGAGTCGCTTATGGGCTGGGAAGAGCTCCTGACAAAGGGGACGGCCAATTCAGGAAGCCCTGGGGTGAGAATGAGCTTGGGGAGCTCAAGAATCCGACAAGTCTGAAGATGCACTTTTAGATACCCAAATGGAAAGGGAAGCTCGGGGTGGGGGGTGGGTGGGAATCAGTGCTGGAGACATAAATTTGGGAGCTGTGGGCAGGTAAACTCCCTGGGGCTGGCTTTAGGGAAACTGATGAGAACGGACTGAGCCCTGCGGCGCTCCGTAGGAGGAGCCTCTGGAGAGGGTCAACCCGCGTATCTCCCCGGTTTTTTGGGTTTTTTTGTTTTGTTTTGTTTTGTTTTGTTTTGTTGCAGGACGTTGCAGGACCCTCCAGGCCCCAGTCGGAGACGGGAGGAGGGTCAAACGCCCGGGGAGGGGGACGAGGAGAGAAGGAGTGCCTGGGTGTCCGAGGGCTCTTGCCCAGGTCGCGCGCACCCGCCTCCCCAGCGAGAGTCTGGGGGGAGGAAAAGAGCCTGAGAAAGGGCCAAACCCAGCCAGACTCTCTGCCTCCCCTCCCTTCCCCGCGTGCCGCGTTTCCTCTCGTTCCCGGAGCATTCCCCGTTTCCATGGAGACTGCGCCCGCATCCCCAGCTCGCAACAGCGCCGCCAGGCTCCCGAGGGCGGGCCTCTCCGCTCCGCAGCCCCCGCTCAGCCCTCACGGAGTTTCCTTCCCGTGGCCCTGCGCCCGCGCGTTCTCGCTGGCACTCTCGCGCTCACCGCTCACGTGCCTCTCCCCGGTCGCGTGCCTCCCGGTTCCTTCCTCCGGTCCACCCTTTTTATCTTTCTTGTTCTTCATCTGTCTCTTTACGGCCCTACTCTCTCGCGGGCTTGTCTCGACTGCGCTTGGGGGTCACCCTCGATCCTCCTCCCCTTGTCTAGTTAGATCTCTCCGCATTTAACATTCGTTCAACATCCCTTCTCTTCTCTCTTCCTTTTCTCGCTTCTCTTCCTTCTCTGGATCTAGCCCCTTCGCCCTCTCCTCTCCCCGGCTCTCCCTTCCTACACTGCACATGTAAATCCTGACTGCGTTATGTGCGGGGCGCCGTGCAGGTGCTGGGGAAACTGGAGGCGTGGTCCCCAAGAGAAGAGACGTGTGGGGAGGAATAAAATCAAGTCGACACACAAACAGAATAGTTATGCATGGCAAGCGGAGGAGGGATGGAAGCAGACTGGGGGTTGAGACCCAGAAGAGGCGGGTGCTAGGAAGGGGGGGGGGGGGGGCCTCTCCATCTCTAACTCACTCTGCCTCCTCTGCTCTGCAGCCCAGTACTGGGTGGCTATGTGGCTCCAGAGGCCACTGGGGGAATGGGAAACACCCAGGAGTCAAGCAAATGGAAAAAAAGCCTATCAGATGGTTTCCCTGGACCCGGGGGAAGAGAGGAATTGATTACTACAGAGACAGCCGAGGACAAGGAAGTGACCTTGCTGAGGTTCAAGCATCAGAAGATGGAGTGACTGCAGGCAAGGTGGGTTTCAGCATCCCCACGTCCTGCATGAGGAACCTGAGGCTTAGGTCTTTGGAGTCTGAGTTCAAGTCTCTCTTGGAAGACATAGACCCAGGCGCAGGGTGCCATGTGGAGGAGGGCTCCTCAATGGAAGCAATTTTGACACTTGGCCTTAGAATTCTTCACGATGAGGACTGTCCTATGCCTGGCGGGAGGTTCAGTATCGTGCCTCGCCTCTTCCTGCCAGATGCCCATGGCACCACCACCCTCAGTCATCAAGAAGAACCTCTCCAGACATTGCAAAACGTTCTCTGGGGGGCAAAAGTGTCTCTGGTTGAGAACCACTGGTCTAGGGGAAGGGGCCCTTGGGTGGGGCATCTCTATCCATCACCCTACAGTCCACTGACTGAAAGGGTTGTGACAAAATTAATAATATGAATATTCATGCTGTGGTAATAACATTCACAAACAGCATAACATGCTTAAGTACATGCCAGGGTGCAGAGCTCCTGACATCATGGTCTGGTTTAATGCTATAACGAATCTGTACCGCAGGAAAAGTCATCATCCTCATTTTACAGATGAGAAAATGGGCTCCGAGGAGCCAGCTTTCATATCCCATGTCACAGAGCTAGTCAGTGGTGGGATCTGTATTTAAACCCAGACAGGTCTTTACTTAACATTTTTCTTTTAATAGACTCACTTTTTAACTTAGAGGCATTTACTTAAAAAGTAAGCTTTATATCACTATCATAGAAAAGGAAACCAGGATCATTTGCCACAAATAGAAGGAAACTATAAATATAATGAAACCAAAACAATGTTCTTAGATTCTAGCTGGATACTTTTGCCTGCCAAATGCTCTGAGCTCTCTCTCTGTTTAGAGACTTAATAGTGTGAGAGGAGTTAAAGATATACTAGCACCAAACTGAGCCTTTCTCCCTGGAGCCATGAGACACTGGCCACTGTGCACGGCCTCGATGGGAAGCGGAACTCCTGTTCTTCCCCGTGCAGCTTTAGGGCAAGTCCGCTTCCCTCTCTGGGCCTCAGTTTCTTCATCTGTAAGATAGGGGTCATGATATCCTACTCATTTCATAGTGCTTTTGTGAGAATCAATTAGCAGGTGAGAAGAGGAACCTAAATTATAACTGGTGAAGTGGGGATGGGTTATGGCAGCTCTTGAGAAAAAGAATTCTTAGACAAAAGAGATGAGCCTTTTTCCAGGGGGTGATCTGTACATACAATGGGATGTTATTTATTCAGCCTTAAAAAGGAAAGGAATTCTGACACGTGCTACAACATGGAAGAAACCCGACACACTATGTTCAGTAAAATGTGCCAGTCACAGAAAGACAAAGACTGTAGGATCCCACTTACATGAGGTCCCTAGAGCAGTCAAATTCACGGAGACAGAAAGTAGGATGGTGGCTGCCAGGGTCTGGGGAAGGAGTATGGGGGGGTTAGTGTTTAAAGGGGACAGGGATTCAGTTTTGAAAGATGAAAAGAGTTCTGGAAGATGGGGAGATAGATGTGCTACACAACACTGTGCACTTGAGAAATGGCTAAAATGGCACATTTTATGTTATGTGGACTTTGCCATGAGGGAGGGAGAGCGAAAAAGAAAATCAGCAAGGAGAATACAGAAAATGACATGATCTATCTGCCTCCTGGACCTGTATGTAAAAGATTGAGGGGAAATGGAAATTAAATTTATAAGAGTGGTGGCTTCTTGGCAGGGATGGGGTAGGACTTTAGCCTTTAAATGTTTCAGCTTTTCAGAGTGAATGTCTTCATATACTACTCGTGAAATTTAAAAACATTTTTCAAAGAAAACACATAGGGGTGCCTGGGTGGCTCAGTGGGTTGACTCCTCTGCCTTCGGCTCAGGTCATGATCAATCAGGTCCTGGGGTCTTGGGATCGAGCCCCGCATCGCATCGGGCTCTCTGCTCAGCAGGGAGCCTGCTTCCCTTCCTCTCTCTCCACCTGCCTCTCTGCCTACTTGCAATCTCTGTCTGTCAAATAAGTAGAAAAATCTTAAAAAAAAAAAAAAAAGAATACACATAGAAGCTTACATATCTGTAAACACTTCTAGAAGTATAGGGAAGCAGTTTAATGATGGATACCTCTGAGGTGTGGACTGGGCGGTGGGCAGGAAGGGAGGAGGGAGGGGACACTTTGCATTCTATGCCATCCTGTGCTATTGAATGTGTCTAATATCTGCATATATTACTTCTGTAACAAAAACTCCATTATTATGTCCAATCCTATTCCGTCTATCCCAGGCCATGAAATCCTCTTAAGCTTTTTTTAAAAATTAAGAAACTAAAAGACAGTTAAAAGGAATTTGGGAATGAAAGTTGAGTGAGACCAGAAGTAGTGAAGAATTAAGAATTAAGAAGAGCGTATGTATGATACACTCACATGTTTATTTTCTTCAAAGCTTGTGCTATAAATGTACCCTCGTATAAAGCTTTTTTAGTTTTGTTTTAAATAGGCTCCATGCTGGGCATGAAGCCCAACTTGGGGCTTGAACTTGTGACCCCAAGATCATGACCTGAAATGAAATCAAGAGTTAGACGATTAACCCACTGAGCCACCCAGGGGCCCCTATAGAAAGGTCTTTAATGATGCATTTTATGCTCAGTTCTTTTAATAGCATTTCACTGTAACACTAGTACACCATCCTCAAGGGACATCTGCTAAGCTGGGCACTCCAAGAGGGAGGCCTCTGTTTTGGCTCAGTTGCCCCCTCCATGCATGACACACCACAGTGGCTACCCTTTTCTGGGGGTCAGACTGCGTGTCCTCAGGGCTTTCTGTCCCTGGGCAGACTCCACAGAGGTTTGCCATAGACTGAATTGTGTCCCCACAAAATTCACGTGTTGAAGCCCTAACCCCGGGTGTGATAGTATTTGGGTGTGGACCCTTTGGAAGGTAATTAGGGTTTGGGGAGGTCTTGAGGGTAGGGCCTCATGATCGGGTAAGTAACCTTATAAGGGGAGACAGCAGGGACCCTGCTCCCCGCACCCCTACCAGGTCAGGACACAGCCAGAGGGCACCTCTTTGAGGATGGGTGAGGACGCTCAGGGAACAGAACCTTGCCTGAGGAGGAACAAATTTGCCGCATCTTAGAGCCACACAGCTGAGAAAAAGTGTGATCCCTTTATGCACAGTTTAAAGACAGGCAAAACTCACCTACAGGATGGAAAATCAGACAAGTGATTACCTTTGTGGTTAGTGACTGGAAGGGGACATGAGGTTCCTGATCTGGATGCTATTTCCACAGGCAGGTTCGCTTTGTGGAAATTCTCTGAGCCACAGAGGGGACATTTTCTGTCCTTTTCTCTAAATGTGTTATACTGCAATAAAACCTGACTTTAAAAAAGGCTGTATACCATAGTGGGTAAGAAGTAAACCTCAGAATAACCAAGAGATCACTGGTTAGAGCACATCCATGCGACAGCACGCCCAGCAGTCATGGAAGGGAGGAAGGAAGCCCTTTTATGTGCTGCTGTGGGACGGCGCGTGGATGTGCTAAGTGAAGTGCAAGGTCCCGGGCAACAGATGCAAAATGATGCTAACATTTGGGGGGGTGGTGTGAGTGTGTGCGGGGGTTGGTAAGGGGGACTGTTTTCTTGCATGGAGACAAACTATTTCTGGAAGGGCCTACAAGACCCTGATAACACTGGTCACTTTTCAGGAGAGGGACAGAGTGGCAAGAGGACAGGAGGGGAGGAGACACTGAACTGACAACTTGCTGCACATTTTGGATTCAGAACCATGTGAAGAGTTACCTATCAAAGCCGTGAGGTAGGTGGGAGTTATCTGCTAACAGGTGACTATTACTAGAGATTCTCACTCACTTGGACTGAAAATAATTAAAGCAACAAAGAATGGCAATGCACAGGCCAAATGTAACTCTCAGAAATAATGGCTTAATCACAAAAACATAAAAATGAAAACCCCTTTTGACTGACCTTGCCAATTTCCGGGAATTTATCTGAAGAAAAAGCTCACAGATATGCTCTCAGATCAAGCTACAAGGATGTCTGTCACATTATTACTTATAAGAGAAAAAAGAGGGGCACCTGGGTGGCGCAGTCGGTTAAGCATCTGAGTCTCAGATATTAGGGGGGGTCACCCCACAGCCGCCCCCCACCCCAGTGCTCAGCATGGAGTTTGCTTGGGACTCTCTCTCTCCCTCTCCTTCTGTCCCTCCACACTGCATGCCCTTTTTTTCTCTAAAATAAATAAAAATAAATCTTTAAAAAAGAGAGGGGTGGGGCGCCTGGCTGGCTCAGTGGGTTAAGCCTCTGCCTTTGGCTTAGGTCATGATCTCAGGGTCCTGGGATCGAGCCCCACATCAGGCTCTCTGCTCAGGAGGGAGCCTGCTTCCCTCTCTCTCTCTCTGCCTGCCTCTCTGCCTACTTGTGATCTCTGTCTGTCAAATAAATAAATAAATAAAATCTTTAAAGAAAAAAAGAGGGGGGTACTTGGGTGGCTCAGTCAGTTAAAAGTCTGCCTTCCACTCAGGTCATGATCCCGTGTCCCGAGCCCCACATCGGGCTCCCTGCTCAGCGGGGAGTCTGCTTCTCCCTCTGCCTCTACTGCTCCCTGCTTGTGCTCTTGCTTTCTCGCTCACTCTCTCAAATAAATAAATAAAATCTTCTTTAAAAATAAAAATTTTAGGGACGCCTGGGTGGCTCAGTTGGTTAAGCAGCTGCCTTTGGCTCGGGTCATGATCCCAGCGTCCTGGGATCGAGTCCCACATCGGGCTCCTTGCTTGGCGGGGAGCCTGCTTCTCCCTCTGTCTCTGCCTGCCATTCTGTCTGCCTGTGCTTGCTCTCTCTCCCTCTCTCTGACAAATTAAAAAATAAATAAATAAATAAATAAAAATAAAAATTTTAAAAAGAGAGAGAGAAAGGAGGAGAGGGAGAAATAATAAAGGAAGAATGGAAAGAAAGAAACAATATCCAGCAATATGGGAATACAGTTCTTTCCTGTCACAGAATGTCACTCAGCTATGAAACTTGAATATGAATCTCCTCAGGTAGCCATTGAGGAAGATTTAATGATACAGAAAATCTTATGCTATGTTAGGTTTCCAGAGGCTGTAAAAATTAACATGCAATATAATTTCACTTCAGGGAAAAAACACTTACATAGAGCAAACAGTCATACAACATTTACCATCCCGGGCACTATAGGACTTTATGTACTTTATGTCATCCACACAATAATCTGCATTATTATTTTCTTTTTACAGATGAGGACACTGAGGCACAGAGAGGTTATCCAAGTTACCCAAAGTCACACAGCTGGTAAGATGCAAAACCGGCTGGCAAGTTTGAACCCAGTAAGCCTGGCTCCAGAATCTGCCAGTAACCAGTACTCTCCACCGTTCGGACTGTGGGCCAGGCAGTTAAGAATGACTGATTCTGGGAGTGTGAGATTATGGATATAATTTTGCTCATCTATAGTCCCCAGTTTTTCTACAAAGAACAATGATAACATTACAAAGCAGTAAAGGTCTTAGAAAAAGGGGGGCACACAGAGCAGCAACGCAGCACAGAACTCATGGCCAGCTGCTTGTGTCCCCTGTGAGTCCCTCCCTGGGGTTAAGGAAAGGATCAGGCTGCGTGTGGAGTTGAGGGGAGCCCAGTGAAGAATCTGTCCACACTGGGACCACCACTTTCCAAGGTGCTGCTTCCCCAGCACCCCTGGCCCTAGGGGGCTGTAGGGAAAACCTCTGACAGGCTGAGCCCCGCTAAGGGAAGGAGGGTGTCTACAGGCCCCTCACTACCAAGGCTGAGTGCTGGCTCTGCTTCCCCAGGGCAGGCCCTGCTCTTCTGAAGGAGACCAGGCCTCTCCTAACAGTCACCTCCAACTCACTGAAGATCCAGGCCCAACCTTAATGCCTGTATCAACCTGGGATGCTGGGGGTCGGGACACCTGTGCCTGGGCTCACCATCCCCCATCCAGCACCCAGAGGCTAGGAGGCACCCTGACTCCCCCTCCCCCGACCCCCACATCTAATCCATTCCCAAGGTCAACCAACTTGACCTCCAAAAATATCCAGGATCCGACCTCTCCTCTCCAGTTCCACTGCACCCATGTGTCCAAGCTGCCATGATCTCCCTCCTGGAGGACCACAGTGGCCTAACTCCTTCTCAGCTCCCACACTTACCCCATCATCAGCTGTTCTCTGCTCAGCATCCACAGTGAACTTTCAGAAATGGATGGTGCCATGCCCCTGCTCAGCGCCCTCCGAAAGCTCAGGCACTCAGAACAACGCGCTGCCACAGGCTGCCCACCTTTCCCTCCAGCCATGAGGCCTCCACTCCCTACACTCCCGCCCACACTGGCTTCCTTTCTGTCCCTTAAGACCTGTCAAGTTCAGCCCCACCTGGAGGCCTTTGTATGGACTGTTCCCTCCTCCGGGGAAGCTCTTCCAATGTAATCCAGTCCCCAGTTCCTGGTTCCTGATCTTGAGGACACTACAGTTTAGGAGGGGGACTATTCAGAAAACAGATAATTGTGGGTGGGGGGATGGGTGAAATCGGTGAAGGGGATTAAGGGGACACTTATCGCAGTGAGCACTGAGTCATGTATGGAACTGTCACATCATTATACTGCACACATGAAGCTAGTAGAACGCCGTACATCAACTATACTGGAATTAAAATAAAATTTACCCCCAAAAAAGAAGACAAATAATTATGTCTGGTGTCACAGATTACCATCATTTTGTGTGGTTATCATTTGGGAACCGTATTCAGTATTTACTTCCCCAGCCCCAGGCCCAGCCTACAGCGGAGCCCATAGCCTCTTAATAACCTTTGAATCACCCCATCCATGCATCCCCATTGTCCTGGCTCCCCCTAGCCCCATCTTCTCTCTGGTCTGGTCAGAAGTCTCCTGCTGCTCTCCCCGCAGCCTGTCTGGTCCCTCCAGCTCAGACCAAGCCCTCTCAGATGGCTCTGTTCCTCTGGGTCCCCCTCTGTTTCCTCCAGGCACGTGTCCTTTCTCAAGGCCATCCTTCTCTGTTTCTCAGTTGCTAATCTGAGCAGCTGCTCTTGCTTCTTTTCTGGCTCCTCCCCTACCTACCTCTAAAAGGCCGGTGTTTCTAGACTCTCCCCTTCTCCCAGCACATACTCTCCACGGGGCAATTTCACCCACTCTTAGACTCATTCGATGGTGCCTCACATCTCCGTCTCCAGCGGAGACTGCTGCCCTGGGCTCCCAGCCCGAATACCAGTTGCTTGTCAGACCTTTCCTCTTGCACACCAGAGGGTCTGCCAACTCAACATTTCCCAAACTGACCCGATCTACCTCCTGCAAGTTTGGGAATATCAGTCCAGGGACCCAGTCATCCAGGGAAGAAACCTGGAGTCATCTGTAACACCTGCCTTGTCCTCCCTGCCGGATAGCCGCTGGTCTCCCATACAGGTCTCCCGTCTTCCTCCTCCTCCTCTCTCCCTGCTGCCTTAGCACTTCTCACAAGGACCACAGGCTCCTTGCCTCCCATCAAGCCTCCATCTAGTCCACCCCTGCAGCGGCCACCTCAGTCATCTTACTAAATCCAACATCTGGGCCTGGTGACTCCCATGCCTAAAAGCGGATGCCCATGGAGCACCTGGGTGGCTCAGTCAGTTAAGCATCTGGCTCTTGGTTTCGGCTCAGGTTGTGATCTCAGGATCATGAGATCAAGCCCAGCACTGGGCTCTGTGCTAGGTGTGGAGACTGCTTGAGATTCTCTCTCCTTCTGCCTTTGCCCCTCCCTCTTGTTCTCTCTCTCTCTCTCTCTCTCTCAAAATAAATAAATAAATAAATCCTTTTTAAAAAATAAAGAAAAAAAAGCAAATGCCCATCACATATGGATAAGACCCAAACTCCAAGACCCAACTTTGAAAGCTCTCCATAGCCAGTCCTACCTGCCTCTTCAGGCTTATCTTCTCAGTCTTCCCACTCTTCCATCTGTCCTCCCTTATTGTAGCACAGACAATGGAATGTGGGAGCCAAAGTGTTTTGATCCAAGTCACACACCAGCTAATAATAAGTGCTAACAGTTCTTGAGGGTCTCCTTTGTGCCAGGTCTGTACAATATTCACAATCAATGTTTCAACAGCCCCCGAGGTAGTTACTATTATTATCCCTATTTTACAGATGAGAAAACTGAGATGTGTAACCTTCTTAAAGACACTTAGCTGGTAATGCCACACTTAGCATTCGAATTCAGGTTGTCTGACCACTGAATATGCTGCCTCCAAAGGAGTGGAGGGTAGAGCTAGGACTTAAATTAGATGTCATCATTCACTCATTCAACAGACACTTATTAAGCACCGACTATGTGCCAGGCACAGACTCCTGGTCCAGGACTCTCATTATACCATTAAACTTCTCTGGGATTAAAGTAAGGTTGATAATGATGAATAACATAACATGGGGATGAAAAAAAAAAGACACAAATGAGAGGTTTCAGAACGAGAATACTTCAGTCAGTCCTTGTTCTCTTGACCCTTCCAACTCCTCCAAATCACCCTCTCCACTGATAACCAGATGTGATATGTACCCCCCCACTCAGCTCAAAACACTTCAAGGCTGTTGTAGATACCACACTAAACCCAGGACAGAACTGACAATTTGAGATATTGATGAGAATATGTTGAGAAAAAACAAGTTTCACCATGGGGAAAACATCCATAGACAAAGTCAAAAGATCAACTGGAAACAACATTTGTAACTCATATCACAGACAAGGAGTTAACTTTCTTAATATATAAAAAGATCCCTTTTTTTAAAGATTTCATTTTTTTAAAAGATTTCATTTATTTATTTGACAGACAGAGATCACAAGTAGGCAGAGAGACAGGCAGAGAGAGAGGAGGAAGCAGGCTCCCCGCTGAGCAGAGAGCCTGATGAGGGGCTCGATCCCAGGACCCTGAGATCATGACCCGAGCCGAAGGCAGAGGCTTTAACCCACTGAGCCACCCAGGCGCCCCTAAAGATTTCATTTTTAAATAATCTCAGTACCCAATATGAGGCTCAAACTTAAAACCCCAAAATCAAGAGTCACGCACTCTACTGACTGAGCCAGCCAGGTGCCCCACAAAATGTTCTCACATATCCAAGAGGGAAAATGCCATTAACTTGATATATATATGAGCTGACAGTTTATATAAATGATATATATGTAGGGACACCTGAGTGGCTTAGTCAGTTAAGCAGCTGGCTTTGGCTCAGGTCATAATCCCAGGGTCCTGGGATCGAGTTCCACATCGGGCTCCCTGCTCAGCGGGGATCCTGCTTCTCCCCTGCTTGTGCACTCACTCTCTCTCTCTCCTTTCTGACAAATAATAAATAAAATCTTTTTAAAAAAGGATACATATAAAAGGTGCTCGACTTCACTCATAATTAGAGAAGGGCCAATTACTACTATAAGAGTATTTTTTTACACATCAGGTGGGCAAAAATAAAATATCTGATAACATATTCTGTTGACAAGGAAGTGGGGTAACAGGTACTTTTATATGTTGCTGCTGGGAGGGTAACTCTGTACAGTTCCTACAGAGGGGACTATGGCAGGATCTGTCAAAATTGTAAATATACAGACCATTTAATCCAGTAATTCTGCTCTAGGTCTTTATTTTGTCCTTATACGCACATATGTGTCAAATTATTTATATACAACATTATCCACTGAAATATTGTTATAGCAAAATATTGTAAACAACTTAAGTATTGATAAGATAAATGATGACAAATCTATACAAAAGTATATTTTGCAGCTCTTGAGAAAAAATAGCTCTTTATACACTAAAGTGGAACAATCCTAAACAACATAGTATGGTGGGGTGATGGTATGTGATATCTTGATTGGGACATAAAAGGCAGTGTCATGGCCAAAACAATCTTCAAAAAAGAACACAGTAGCGGGACGCCTGGGTGGCTCAGTTGGTTGGGCGGCTGCCTTCGGCTCGGGTCATGATCCCGGCGTCCTGGGATCGAGTCCCGCATCGGGCTCCTTGCTCAGCGGGGAGCCTGCTTCTCCCTCTGCCTCTGCCTGCCATTCTGTCTGCCTGTGCTTGCTCTCTCTCCCTCTCTCTCTCTCTGACAAATAAATAAATAAAATCTTAAAAAAAAAAAAAAAAGAACACAGTTGGAAGACTCATAATTCCTGATTTGAAAACTCACTACAAAACAGCAGTCATCAGGATATTACGGTACTTGCGTAAGGACAGACATACAGAGCAGTGGAATAGAACAGAGTCCAGAAGTAAACCCATG